GTAGTTTTGCACACCAAGGTGGCCAACGGCTATATGGAATTGGAGGGCTATAAATATGACCCCAACCGGCCAAGAGGAGGGTGTTAGAGCCCAAGGAAGTGTTGCATGAGTTGAGACTCATCTTTAGTTGCTCTAGCCGCTAAAGTGCTTAGTGAAATACTCGGTGATTAGCGTAGGTGTTTTCTGAAGTGCTTAGGTTAGTTAAACCATCGATTATTGCGCTTGCTCTAGGTTTAGACCTAGTGTTAGTGAGGTTTGCATACATCGTGATCTTAGGTGCCAGCGCACATCATTGTCATACTCGGCGGGCTTTTAGTCTTGCGAGACCACACCAACTGTGTTTGTGGTGTGGCCGCCACCGTGTACCGAAGGGAACAAGGCCCATGGCGTTTCGATCAAAAGCTTGATAGTAAAGACGGCGAGGAGCATCACGGGAGAGGCTTGCCAGAAGCAGACCAAAGATCCACTTACGTGTGGGTAAGGCCCGGGTCTATCTATGGAGTTACCTTATCAAGAGCTTGGCCCTTGTGAAGGCTTCTTTGCGAGGGGCTCCAACAAAGACTAGGGAAAGCTTGCGCGCTTTTCGATACCTTAATAAAAATACAAGGAGTCGATGGGAGTTTGCATGTCTATCTCAATTAAGCTTTTGCATTTACATTGCTACCTCTTGGTTGTGTGCTTTACCTTACCTAGCTTTGATAGGATTGGAACCTAGGTTGCATGACTCTTTTGCGGTAGAGGTAGCAACACACCTAGCAAAACCGTAGTTGAACATTTAGATAGTTTACTTAATTGGTTTTTGCTAAGGTTGGAAAATAAAGGCTATAGTTTTGAATTAGAATTTTAAGTTGTCTAGTTATTGCCTAATTCACCTCCCAAGTCCATGTCACGGTCCCTTCACCGATTACTATCCAAATTCCACCAAATTAGCTACCAAGTGTTCCGGTAACAGACCGTCTGTTCCCCTTCAGAGCAAGGTTAAAGGCTAATAATGCAGAATCTTTGCACCCTATCTTGCAGCTCACTCATATAGTAGTTAGTTTTTCATTATTAATACATGGTCTATGTTTTCTCACAATTTTTTTGGTTCTTGTGTATAATTTTGATTTAAATTTACAGCGCACTTCTTTTCCCATTTTTCCTCCGCCAGAGCATTCAGTCCACTCACGACTGTTATTATACTTGCTCTTACTGCATAAATTCAGATTGTTTTGTACCCAACGGCCCACCTTACCATAATTTAAACGTTCAATGCATGTCACTAACCCCCCCCCCCCCCCTCTCCTCGCAAGCTATACGTGTGTTACCCTGCGCTATAGTGCGAGCAACAGCTGGAGAGACGCCAACTGTTCGGTATGGCTAAAGCTGCATTTGGTTGGGAGACACCTAGAGATGATATGGGCCCATCTCAGTTTTCAGAAATGAGACGATCCCATCTAGTGTTTGGTTGAGGGAGAACGAGTTTGTTCTGATTTTTATTTGGTTTGGATTTGGAAACACCAAAAGCAGGATCAGACACCTAACATGTAGGGCCCATGAGTCAATCTTTTTTTTTCCCTTGCTTCTACCTCTCGCATCTGGTGAGCTCCCTTTCCTACGCACGCAGATCGGGCTCACCCAAACGGCCGCATGCGACGGGGCCAATGGTGGAGCACGACCGGACGCGATAGGGCCAGGGGCAGACCCTCATCTACACGCTGCTAGCAGTGGAGCATGCCTCCACGCGGCGACGCCGGTGGCGGAGCTCGCCAGGCCGCACACATCGGGCTCGGGGGTGGAGCTCGCCCACACTGGCTGGCCGCAGAGCACGCCCACATGGCAGCCCTAAGCGGGCTGACATTGGAGCTCGCCCGCACATGTTAATACCGGAGGCGGACCTCGCCGACAATCTTCTCTCCTCTTCTCAGCTACGTTGCCCTCTTCTTCTTCTCTCCCGTGTGTCCCGTGCTTCGCCGTACGCGCGCAAGAAGCTGTGACAAACAAATCCGTTCAACTTTGGGGAACTAGGTTACCCCAGATCTCCTAGGAATATTCTCTCGAGATGACTCTGTCCCTACTCGTCTCTGGATTAAACACTATACAAGGTGGAATATCTCACCCGGAACCGTTCTATCCCTAGAACCAAACATTAGCTAACATGCGAAGATGTGGTGCTAGGCGCATACACACATACCCAACTCGTCTGTATGAATGAATATAAAACAAATCGGCAAATCTTGAGATTTACTTCTTCATAGCCATTTCGTCAACTGATCGATAAATAGCGCTGTTTATTTAGGAAAATAAATCAAGATAACTATAAGCACCGTGCCAAGTCCAATTTTTATATCGGATGAACAGATTGTACGCATCAGAAAAAAAAATCTGACCAACTGTTCAATCACCAATGGCACTAATGAGTAACGATGTGACTTGTACTCACACTGAAGAGAAGGGATCAGGTTTGGATCAGTGGGAGACCAAATTGTTTTTGTTTCTATTTTCTGATAAATAAAGACCAAAGTACTAGCTGGCCTGTTTAGAGACTTTGGACAGGGAATAAAGTGGAGTGGCTCCGTGCGAGCCGAGGCACCTTCGGTGTCCAGCTTTTCGTCGCTTTGGAACAAAAGGAGATGCGGTGTCTTGTAAAATCATTCCACGGAATCAAAACGTGGAATGCATGGTTTATTTATACTCATCACCGGTTTGGCATATTTTCCTCGGAATTAATAATAAGGTCGTCCTCGATCGGAAAGAAGAAATTGTTAGTAGTAAGATAAGATAGATTGAGGTGATGAGTAGACACAGCACGCGTATGTTGCTGCCTGTGTTACTAGTAGCAGGCTTGGGTGCCCTCACTCACACGTACAGAATGGAGAAGAACCACAGCGCATATGATGCCATGAGCTGTAACCGTACGTCCACGCCACTGGGGCTATCTATCAGGAATATGGAACAAGCAAAAGTGCCCAACACCCATGTGGCCGCGGTCCAAATTAAGTGCGTAGCATCTTCGATGCGTGATGAGTAAGGTTACACACCCAAGGTTGTAGACTTGTGATGAGTAAGGTTACACACCCAAGGTTGTGGACGTGATGAGTAGGTTACACACCCAAGGTTGTGATGATGAGTAGGCCTAAATCCTTCACTGTTCTTAGTACCTTTTTTTCCTTCTAATTTTGACCAGAACCGGTATTGTTGGAATTTGTTTGTTGGCATCATCTAATTGCATGCAATCGAGTTGCCATCAACAGAAGCTTTGACTTGCGCCCATGTGTACTGTCTTAATTCATTTATATCTTAATTAGATTATAATATTTTTCTTGCCATATTAGATATGAACTGAATTGAGTTATTTGTTAATTGTATTTGACACAGATACTCTATTTATTCTTGACTATTAGATCATCATAAAATCCAACATTGTTTTTTCCCTCATAAATCTCATAAAATATAGGCCTTGTATTTAATATGTATGCCCCACTTATTCTCAGCCGTTAGATCATCATAAAGTCTAGTGGTACATATTCTTTTTTCCTTAATTAATCTCATAATTTTTGGGCCTTGTATTTAACACGAATACTCTATTTGTTATCGGCGGTTAAATCATCATAAAATCCAACAATGCATAAGATTTCTTTCTTTTTTCTGATTAATCTTCGTAATTTCTAGGCTTTGTATTTGACATGAATACTCTACTTATTATTAGCCTTTAGGTCATCATAAAATTCTAAGATTCATACTCTTTTCTTTTTTCCCAATTAATCTTTTAGTAATTTCTAGGCCTTGTATTTGATAAGATTAGCGTATTTGATCTCGGCCGTTTGATCCTTGTAATATCCAACACTGCATATTCTTTTCTTTTTTCGATTAATCTCGTAATTTCTAGGTCTTGTATTTGATATCGATACTTTTTTATTCTCGGACGTTGGATTATCATAAAATCTAACATTTCATGTTCTTTTGTTTTTTATACTCTGTTTATTCTCGGCCATTAGATCATCATAAAATTTAACTATGCACATTTTTTTCTTTTTTCTAATACTTTTACTACTAGAAACCAAAATTTCCCAGTAGTGTTTATTTATTCTCGACCGTAGATCTATCATAAAATACAACGGTGGATATTCTTCTCTTTTTTTGCTTATCAATGTCGTAATTTCTATGCCCTCTAGGAGACCATGAGGGCTCTTTTTATTCTGTTGTATTAATATAATAGATAGATAGATGTTTGTATACAATATATGTTTCGGTCATATGTTTCCTGTATATAATACAAAAGAATGACGAGCATATATACAGCGACAGCCCGCCTACCACTTTGTAGAATCTCGTTATGCATTAATAAATGAGCTTAAGGCAGGTTAGATCAATCCTTACACGATGTGAATAGCATAACATGCATCGGCATGAACTTGTGTGAACATCCTTGTGTGTTTTTAATGTTTTTTGTCTACAGGAATGCAATATAGTAGCACTTGAGCAAGAGCTGTTTAAACAAAGATCAAGTATCGGAGAACAGCATGATGTCATATTGATTACACAAGTAGCATGATGTCATATTGATTACAGAAGTATACAGCATCTGCTGCATTCTTGGAATCAGCTTTCTATGTGTGTTAGTTCACTAGCCGTGGAGTCGACTTGCTGTTGCTGGTCTTCGCAATGGGAATGGGAATTAACTTGCGTGTGAATATTGACAAGTCAAAAGTCCATAATGACCAAGACTGCTGAAGACCATGACTGATATGCTTGTTAAGTTACAAAACAAAAAAAAAGCATGCTATATTCTTGTTAGGTATAGGGGAAAAAAAGAAGAAGGATATATAAAATTTTGACCGAGATGACCTGATGGAGTCATGATACGATTAGCTGACACACAGATGCTAATAAGGAAACATCACATCAAGCTATATATGTATGTGCACTTGCAGAGCTATATATAACTAATAAGAGTGTTCTTTCCACCACCAACAAGCAAGCAATATCCAACAGGCAAAAGCAGAGCATCCTCCAACCAAATGGCACCAACCCAGTCCGAGGACAACAATCCTTCAGCAGAGTACAAGCTGAAGAAGTACCTTCTTCTACTGGCCACTCTGGTTGTGGCGGTGACATACGTTGCCGGCCTCAACCTGCCAGGAGGAGTCTGGCAGGACGACGACACAAAGGATGCTCATCACCTCGCCGGTGACCTAATCCTTTTGGACACCCACCATGGCCGATACCTCACCTTCTACTACTGCAACGCGACTGCGTTTGCGGCCTCCGTCGTGGTCTGCCTGCTCCTCCTCATCCTGCAGGAGGGCAACAACGGAGTCTGTGGAACTGTGCTCCGGGTGGTCATGGTTCTCGATTTACTTGGACTCATGGGGGCCTACGCCGCTGGAAGCTGCCACGATGCTTTCACAACCATATACTCCACACTGGTAATGTCTGTTGTCTTGGCCTATGCCGTGCTTACTTTCTCGCTTTATATCATCTCCAAGCTAGAGAAATGTAAAGATGATAAGCAGCAGCAAAAGGAGGATCATGAGAGCCAGAGCCCGAGCCAGAGCCGGGAAGAAAAGGACGAGGTCGCAAGTAGCGAGGTCTTGATGCTACTTGCGACCTTTGTTGTTACCATCACATATGGGGGTGGGCTAAGCCCACCGGGTGGCTTCTGGAGCAACGGCCACCGTGTGAGCCTCCCAATTCTGCCGGACCACAGCTCCGCCCGCTACCAGGCGTTCTTTGTCTGCAACACAACTGCGTTTGTCGCCTCCCTTCTCATCATCATGCTGCTCCTCGACAAGAGGCTCAAGAAGGAATTGTCTGTACGGTCTGTTGCACTGTACGGGCTCATCGTCGTCGCGCTCTTTGGCCTCGTTGGGGCCTATGCTGCTGGGAGCTGCAGAGAGATTGATACTACTATCTACGTAGTCTCTCTGATCGGCGCAGTTCTTGCATACATCTTCCTCCAAGTGGCGATTACTAGAGCCGCTCAACGATGTCGTCAACCAAGCACAAGGGAAATCAATGGCTCGCCAGGAACACCCAATGTACCACATGGGCCACCTGGTAGCAGCAGGTATATATATATGACGACCACAAGCCTCTTCCCTAGCTTCTCTATGCCAGCAAGTCAAGTTTTCTTTGCTTTTGCACGGCAGTCCAATAACATTTTTCGTTGCTGGTAGTCACACGAACAATAAAACAATAGGGAACAAAAATAAATAAGTCACAAATCTCTCTAAATAGATCACCGAGAGATAGATAACATTTTCCAAAAAAAAAAAGAATTGATACTAGTTTCATATTTTTATAATTTGAAATAATTTACTTATGATTTTTTAGATATTAAACAAAAATTTTATTATGTTTAGAAAATAGAAAAACCAACTTGGAAACCAGCTAGGGGGTGAAATTTTGTCTCGATAGTTGCAGTGTATCTAGTACCTATTCTTGTAGTTCAAGGTTGGAGATCGAATTGTTATGTAACTTAGTAGTTGAAGTTTGAAAATTGAACTTTACCCTTAATATCTATATACGTCTGAATTAGCAGGGATAGAGGACAAGATGATGTAGGACTTCCACTCAAAAAAGATGTTGGACTGGAAAAGGCTCATGATCTTGTTATTTTGCTTGCTACCCTTGTTGCGAGTGTCACTTACCAAGCTGGACTAGATCCACCGGGCGGTCTGTGGTCAGACAACCAGGATGGCCACCATAAGGTTTGTGATCCGGTACTCCTCACAACAGACCCTCAGCGGTACAAGGTGTTCTTCTACAGCAACTCAGCAGCATTTGTGGCATCCTTGGTTCTCATCCTTATGGTGAAGTGCGAATTCCTAGTTATGCGCCGCTCACTGGAGGCAGCCATGTTAGTGGATCTGTTTGGACTCATAGTTGCATATGCCGCAGGGTGCTGCAGGGATGTGAGCACCTCCATATATGTCGTCGCCTTGGCTGGTGCCATCCTTGTCTACGTGGTGATTCATATCATCTTCTTCACACTAGACAAAGACGACAAACATGGAAATGCTCATGAGTTGGACAGTAAACGGGAGGTGTTGCTGCTCCTTGCAATCTTAGCTGCTACAGTCACTTACCAAGCTGGGCTGACCCCGCCAGGCGGCTTCTGGTCAGCGGATGACGAGTTTGGTCATCGTGCAGGATTCCCAGTCCTTCTCAACAACTACCCTGACCATTACCAAGCCTTCTTCTACTGCAACGCCACGAGCTTCATGGCGTCCGTGGCCCTGATTGTCCTGCTAGTGAACCCAAACCTGTACATGCCAGGCATACAGTGCTATGCGTTCTTTGTGTGCATGGTTGTGGGCTTGTTTGGATTAATGGGCGCATACGCTGCAGGAAGTTCCCGGCAACTGCAAACTTCTATCTATGTCTTGGTATTGTTTGCTCTGGTTTTCACTTGTGTAACCTCGTGGGTGGTCATTCTCTTGATTGGACGACTTATGGAACATCGTCGTCATAATAAAGGAGATGGGCCATCTGTTGGCGATGGAGGCGTAGCCCGCACTGATAATACTGATGCAGCCCCTGAACAAGACAACGACAAGGAGGAGAAGAAGAAGGAGGAGGAGAAGAAGAAGGAGTACTTGATGCTGCTAGGAGTCCTGGCAGCGAGTGTGGCATACCAATCTGGTCTGAAACCACCAGGTGGCCTCTGGCAGGACAACAAGGATGGTCCGTATGGACACTCTGCAAGCAACTCAATCCTCCACGACATTGACAAAAGTCGTTACCATGCTTTCTTCTATAGCAACTCCACTTCATTTATGGCGTCCATCGTCATCATTGTCCTGCTGCTTCCATTGCATGATGAGTTGCCGCTACGCCCACTGCATATGGCCATTTTGCTAGATTTGGTTGCCCTCCTGGTTGCTTACGCAGCAGGCAGTACCAGAGACTGGGAGATGTCTAGGAATGTCATTGCTCTGGTAATTCCCTTGCTAGTCTATATTGCATCCTACGCAGTATACACCTGGTACCGACGAACAAAGTGCAGCGACAGCCGACAGCCAAGGCCTGCCGACAGCGACATGACAAAAGTTCAGCATGGAGGCAATACCAATGATGTGGTGGAGAACTTGTCGTAATGCAATTCTCTGTTCTGAGTCGTAATTTTGCCCACCTGCCGTTGCACGTGTATTAAGATGTAGACTTGCGTATTCAGAAAATATTGTTCCTGGTTTATGTATACTAACTAGTCCTCAATGTATGAATTCAAACTAGCTGATCGGGTTATATATTAAACTAGCAAGGGTATGGTGATCTTGAGGCTTGTTGTTGTTTTTGGACGGGTGGGGGTGTGTTGTCTATGGCATTGATGTTGATTAACTCTCCGCGAGGGTATGGTGGTCTTTGTTGTGTCATCGGCGGAGGTCGGGGTTGGGATCATTGCACCTTCGTCTTCATCCTGAAATCTGCGTCTGCTCTGTGGTACTTTTCCATGACCTCGCGCGACTCTATGACTATTGAGGCTGGTCTTCTTGAGAGCCAAGAGGAACAGGGTCCTAATCTTAGGCCGTTGACTGCTGTGAGGATGACAGCCTCATCGGTTATGTTTGGGGTGCGAGTCCTCAGCTGAATGAACCTTTGCCAATATTCTTGCAGGGGTTCCCTTTCTCCCTATTTACAGCTAAACAGATCCATCGGATCATTGGGTGCTATATTGATGCCTTTGAAATTGGAGCATAGTTTGTCGCGGAGGTCGCCCTAGGATTCGTTGGAACCTAGTCAAAGGTTGGCATACCAACATTGAGCGATGTCTCGGGCTAGCCATGGTGGCCTCGTCGCTGAGCTGCGATGACTGCCTCGTAGCTCATGATGAATTGCCGATGGTCGAACTTCCCATCATACCTTGGGAGATTTTGGGGGTTTTAGGCTAGTCGCTGTTGACACCTGTGGTGGCATACAAAGACAAAATCCACAAGCGCACGGGTATCGAAGTAGTTTTCACCCAGAGTATTATCGAGTATCGTATCCACGGGAAAACGTGTGTGTTGTCTAATAACAAGTTTGTACAGGGATAGCAATCAAGGTTTAAGGTATGAGTAGAAAGGATTTCTATGGTTATGACCATATACAAAGCAAGGCTTATGATTCTAATGTTCACTTTGGGACGTCGCTTGGATGGTAAAGCACTGCTAATAGATAACTCTACCAACGCGACTACAGTCCTACTAATTTAATAACCTGCTTCATTCGGCGTGGACTACAAAGGATAGACGGGGCTATCACCTCCCGCTGCTATCACACAACCAAGAAGCAGGGAGCAAACACAGGTAGTTGATAGCCTAAGCACCACGCTTATGTTAACGATTACTACTCTGATCCAGATATCTAACAAGGACTAGAGCACTCAAAAGAATTGTGAAACCGTGAACAAAAGAGCACAAAACTTACTGCAAATAGAAATCAATTACGGGTATCTTAGATGTAGACATGGAGAATCCTAGATCCGCCAAAGTACAAGCCATAGAGGTAGCACCGATAGGGCCGATACTTCCCCAAACTCTTCCCTTACCCTCTCTCTTTGTGTGTACAAAGAATAGATCCTAACTAGAGGACTAATCTCTCTTGAATGCGATGCCCCGATCCTGAGATGAGGATATGAATTAGGGTTTTAGGAGGGCTCTAGGGAGGGGGGGGGGTACAGGTGTAAGGTCGAGATGGTGACTAGAGGGGGGGGTGAATAGTCTTTTCTAAAACTTAATCGCGTCGGCTAACCGATATAAATGCGGAATTAAAACAATCGGTCTAGCCAAGACTATACCCCTCTATATATGTTCACTAGCACCTTGCAAAGATAACAATTATGCAACTAAGGTGCCGGGCTAGCTAGAGCTCTCCTAATCAATTCTAGGAGCAAGGTCACACAAACCTATGCCACTAGTACTTGAAGCTATGAGGAAGCTCCTACACATGCTAGTAAGCAAAAGCACAAAGCTAACTAAGCTCACTAGCAATGCTCAATAACAAAGCAACCAATACCTAATTAGAGAGCGCAAATACTTAGCTACACAAACTAAGCAATGTGACTAAAAAGGTTACTCAAACCAAATTAGCCACGTAAGGGAGCTACTTCTATGCTACACAAGCAAGAAGGTAATTAGCAAGCTACACAAGCTATCTAATTACAAGAGCAACTACACAAGCTTAATATATATAAATGTAATTGCAAGCTTGTGTAATGGGGATGCAAACCAACGGGAAGAACAAGGTTGACACGATGATTTTTCTCCCAAGGTTCACGTGTTTGCCAACACGCTAGTCCCCGTTGTGTCGACCGCTCACTTGGTGGTTCGGCGGCTAATTAGCATCACCCGCTAAGCCCGCACGTCGGGCGCCGCAAGAACCTACCCTGGAAGTGAGGGTAGCTCAATGACACGCTTTTACTAGAGTTGCTCTTCGTGGCTCCCGCGGGGCGAGCACAAGTACCCCTCACAAGCACTTCTCCGGAGCGCCGCACAAGCTTCTTGCGGGCTTCGACGGAGACCACAACCAAGCCGTCTAGGAGGTGGCAACCTCCAAGATTAACAGGCACCACCGGCTTGCAACACGACCACCTAGTGCCACTCGATGCAACCTCATGATGCAATCGCACTAGAATCGCTCTCTCATACTATCGGATGATCACTATCATGTATGTGTGAGATGGAGGGCTCCAAGCACTACCACACAAGCCACCAAGGCTATAGTGTGCTCAGCTACAAGCCCAAGGCCGACCATGGCCTCTATTTATAACCCCACGAACAAATAGAGCCATTACCCCTTCACTGGGCAAAACTCGGGACGACCGGACGCTCCGGTCCGATCGACCGGACGCTAGACCTCAGCGTCCGGTCGTGCGATGCACGCCACGTGTCCCTTCCTTCAAACGCTGTTTGCTAGATCTCAACGGTCATCTATCGACCAGACACTGAGCCTCTAGCGTTCGGTCGTTTCCAGTATGGTACCGGACATGACCGTATGCATCTCTGTTGCTACTGACCGGACGCAGGACCCCAGCATCCGGTCACCATGTGACCAGCGTCCGATGCACTGTGTGAGACCCTGTCTTTTCTAACTAGGGCACCGGTGGCACCATCGGATTGTCCAAACTCTACGGGCGGACACTCCACCGGTGGAGTTCCTAACCCTTCTCGCCACCATTCCATCGCCGAGTTGATCCACATCAACTCCAACTTCATCTCCTTTGTAAATGTGCCAACACCACCAAGTGTACACCACCATGTGTATGTGTGTTAGCTTTTCACAATCATTTCCCAACCGGTCCATCAAGCCAAGTCTTGTCTTGATCTTCTCCACCTTGATCACATGACTCAATGTCATGTCTCATGTGCAATAAACTCCTTCATCATCACATGTCTGAGCTTTGCAACATCACTAAGCCATTTTCACCTTCATGGCATATGTTGCTCACACACATGTACCTGTGGACTAATCACCTGTGTATCTCACATAAACACAATTAGTCCACCTAAGTTGTCACTCAATTACCAAAACCAAACAAGGACCTTTCAATCTCCCTCTTTTTGGTAATTGATGACAACTCTACAAAGATATGTAAATTAAGCACTTTTGGATTCATGTTGCTGGCCCAAGCAATTTTACCATGTGTAAATGATTTTGGACAAGTACCACAAACCCAAAATGGTAGTATTAGCTCCCCCTACATATATGCTAGAGTATTTAAATTGAACCTTGCACATATGCGTAGATTGAAACGGTGGGAGAGTAATTACTACCGAATGATGCTAAGGTGTATAGAATAAACCTTAGAAGCGTGATACCAATCAGAGTTGCACCTTTAAGTTCATCCTTAGCACCATGGTTAGCTAGATAACACTTGGAAATAAAAATCACTAGATACCTCATGAGATCAACATTAAAAGCAAGGTACTAGTATTACTTGAAAAACATACCAAGTGTCTAGCTATCATCCTATGCATACTAGTTATCCAATCATCATTCAAGTTCTATAACTAGCATACACCACACAAGCATGCATATTTTATTTAATAACTTATGCAATGCAAGCAAGCACATGAATATGCACATATCAAACGCAATCATTCAAAGTTCATGAGCTTGCTCCCCCTACTCGTGTGCTGCTCTTGTCCAAGAATTTGATCCTTTTCTTTTCTCCAATGTTGCTCCCTCTTTGTTCATGTCCATGTCCTATCTCTTCCTTTTGTACAATCTTAAGATTTTCATATCTTTCTTATGTTTGTACAATCTCTCCCCCATATCTTTCATATCTTTGTACAATTTCTCCCCTTTGGCATCAATTTCCATAAAATGTATGCTTCTTATTGATGCAAAGGTATGCATGTTGGGGTATATGGTTGAGACTTAAATCTTGCATTTTGATGGACATTACTTGATTGTTGGAAAGACACTACTTGTAGATACCATTTTTATGTATGGGTCATCCATTTTATATATTTGAGCTCTTGTAGGTGAGGGATGCATCTTTCATTTGATGATTACTTAAAGTCTAGGGTCACTTGTGGAACCATCTTTTTGCATGATTGATATCACTTGTATGATAGATGCCATATGTAGATGTGATACCATTTTAAATAATTTTCTAGTTTGGAACCACTTGTTGGATTTATCAATTTTGACCATTTTCTTGAACATTTGCTATCTTTACGAGTACCACTTATAAGATATCTTTATGATGTGATACCATTTTATGGTTCACTTGAGTCTAGATACCACTTGAAACATTCAAACTAGATATCCATTTGCATTGTTGTCTTGTGCTTGTACTCTTATTATTATTCAAACTAGACACTCACGGTGTGGAGTTCCTAACCCTTCTCGCCACCATTCCATCGCCGAGTTGATCCACATCAACTCCAACTTCATCTCCGTTGTAAATGTGCCAACACCGCCAAGTGTACACCACCATGTGTATGTGTGTTAGCTTTTCACAATCATTTTCCAAAGGGTTAGCCACTCAACTTGCCACGCCACTCAATCCTAGCGATGATGCAAAGTTATATCACTTTCGAGTGGCACAAGATGACCGATATGCAAACAAGTTTGCTCCTCTTGATAGTACGGCCATCTATCCTAAACCCGG